ACATCATACGAAAGCTGACTGGCACAACCTGGGGATCACAACCAGACACAGTGAAGACATCTGCCCTTGCGCTATGCTACTCTGCTGCTGAGTATGCATGCCCAGTGTGGAACACATTTCACCACACTAAAACAGTAGATGTGGCTCTTAATGAGACATGCCGCATTATCACAGGGTGTCTGCGACCCTACACCACTGGAGAAATTACACTGCTTAGCCGGTATTGCACCACCTGACATCCGCCGGGAAGTAGCAGCCAATAGTGAAAGGACCAAGGCAGAGACATCTCCAGCTCATCCCCTGTTTGGGTATCAGCCAGCACGTCAAAGACTTAAATCAAGACATAGTTTTCTTAGATCTACAGAGACACTCGCTGGAACACCTCAGCAAGCGAGAGTCCAAAAGTGGCAGGCCCAAACCCAGCACCTCAATCCATGGGTGATACCAGATGAGAGACTCCCCCCTGGGCACACAGAAGACTGGGCGACTTGGAAGGCGCTGAACAGACTGCGCTCTGGCACCACGAGATGCAGAGCCAATCTTAAGAAATGGGGCTACAGGGTGGAATCCTCGGCATGCGAGTGCGGAGAAGAACAAACCACTGACCACCTGCTGCAATGCACCCTGAGCCCTGCCACATGCACGATGGAGGACCTTCTTGCGGCAACCCCAGAGGCACTCCAAGTGGCCAGATACTGGTCAAAGGACATTTAACCAAATACCAAATTTGCAAAATCTGTGTGGTTTTTTTTCTTTTTTTTTTCTTTTTAATCTCTGTGTTTGTTTTGCTCTGTTAGAATTGTAATACAATGGTTGCTGATGACACGATAAATAAAAATCCTTTCTTGTAGTTTGAAGCCATTGTTCCGTGTCCTAGTCTCCAGGGAAGCAGAAAACAAGCTTGCTCCCTCCTCCCTATGACTTCCTCTCACATATTTATACATGGCTATCATATCTCCTCTCAGCCTTCTCTTCTTCAGGCTAAACATGCCCAGCTCCTTAAGCCATTCCTCATAGGGTTTGTTCTCCAGACTTGCCAGTTGCAAGCAGAACACCCAAAGTGACCCATTTAAAATGAGGAAACACAACCTACCAACTATCTACAGACCCACTAAGAAAATCCAACAAATTATACGTTCAGCAAAGGACAAGAGGGATCATCTCACCTCTGCAGGAGTCTACCGTATACCATGCAGCTGTGGACAAGTCTACATAGGGACCACCAAACGCAGCATGCCCAAACACGAATCAAGGAACATGAAAGGCACTGCAGACTACTTCAACCAGAGAAGTCAGCCATAGCAGAGCACCTGATGAAACAGCCTGGACACAGCATATTATTGGAGAACACAGAAATGATGGACCACTCTAATAACTACCATGTCAGGCTACACAGAGAAGCCATTGGAAATCCACAAGAAACATGTGGACAATTTCAACAGAAAGGAAGAAACCATGAAAATGAACAAAATCTGGCTACCAGTATTAAAAAGCTCTAAAATTATAATAGTAAATTAAGAACAACACTCAAACACAGGGGAACTCCAGACAGGAAACAAGCAGGGACAGCTAATCACCTCTCAACAAAGGATTCCCCCAGGCAGTAAAAAGCTAAACCTTGAAAACTGCTAGACCAGTGTTTCTCAACCTGGGGGTTGGGACCCCTGAGGGGGTCGCGAGGGGGTGTCAGAGGGGTCGCCAAAGACCATCAGAAAACAGAGTATTTTCTGTTGGTCATGGGGATTTTGTGTGGGAAGTTTGAGCCAATTCTATCCTTGGTGGGGTTCAGAAAGCTCTTTGATTTTAGGTGAACTATAAATCCCAGCAACTACAAGTCCCAAATATTCAAGGTCTATTTTCCCCAAACTCCACCAGTGTTCACATTTGGGCATATTGAGTATGTGCAAGTTTGGTCCAGATCCATCATTGTTTGAGTCCACAGCTCTCTGGATGTAGGTGAACTACAACTCCAAAACTCAAGGTCAATGCCCACCAAACCCTTGTTTTGGGCATTGTGTGTGCCAGGTTTGGTTCAATTTCAACATTGGTAGAGTTCAGAATGCTCTTTGATTGTAGGTGAACTATAAATCCCAGCACCTACAACTCCCAAATGACAAAAATCAATCCCCTCCCCAACTCCACCAGTATTCAAATTTGGGCATATTGAGTATTTGTGCCAAATTTGATCCTGTGAATGAAAATACAACCTACATATCAGATATTTACATTACGATTCATGACAGTAGCAAAATCACAGTTGTGAAATGACAACAAAAATAATGTTATGTTTGGGGGGTCACCACAACCTGAGGAACTGAATTAAGGGGTCGCAGCATTAGGAAGGTTGAGAATCACTGTGCTAGGCCATTGAATGCTAATCAACATTCACATCTACCTCCGACAGACAAGAGTTCTTTCTCCCACCCTGGACTTTCCACAAATATATAAACCCAATTTTGCTAGTTTCCAACAGACCTCACAACCTCTGAGGATCAGAGAATGCTTCTAGAACATGGAGAGAATGCTTCTGGAACATGGCCATACAGCGCGAAAAACTTACAACCCATATTAAAGAAGTTGGCAAGTTAAACAGCTCAAAAGGCTAAAAGGAAATTTGGCTCCAACGCTTTTGATGAATAGCAATGTTTTGAGTCAGCAGAACCAAACTCATTGTATGAGTGTCCCTTGTAAGATTTTAATGCTTGATGGATAGGAAGAGGATGGCTGAGTAATAAACACACAGAAAGCGAGGTGAAGGAGTTCGGGGAATTATGCACGCGCCACCTTATTTATCACGTATGCCAACATGTCTCTTTTTTAGAGAGAGATTCATGGCGCGACCTCCGCTCCGGGGATTAATTTGGGGAAATGTCCTCATCAAGCTCTTCAGTGAACCGTGGTGATATCTTGACTTAGTTCTTATAGATAATTACAGGTCATTTCTCTTCTGAATGAGAGGAAGACAAGAGAGAGATTACCCCTTCCCCTCGGTTTCAATGTAGGTTGAACGTCCCTTATCTCAAATTCTGAAATCAGGGTATTCCAAATTTATTATATGCAGCATACATGCATATCATACAACAGTTGTTAGAGAAAGTACTGTGAATAAAAGTGTTGGGGAATGCAAGGAGTCAATGCACGGGGTTATGGCTGAGCCTGGAACTTTTAGATACTGTTACATTTTTGTTCAGGCTTGAGCTATGCAGTTTGAAGAGAGACGCAGAGAGGGACAGAATTTGGAGTGGACTCTTGCTTCATGAGCTGCTGAAGGAGTTTATCCAACATGGGAAAAGAAACGACTATTTTAAACCTCTCATAAAAGGACACTGTGAGAGTTGGTGCAACTGATCATATTTGTACATATGTTGTTCTGAACTAAGAAGAGTAAACTACTTGTTCTTTACTGTTCACCTGCGTGGCATATTTTTTTTCTCTGGCATGGCAGTGTGTGGGCTGATCAAGCGTGAACTACACGTGGTTTATTTTATACCACAAAAAGAATTATTGGATGGGATGATATGCAAATACCATGGGATGATGGTCAAAGTGGTCCCTGATCAAAATGATCCCTGGTCCAGTAGTCTCTGGTCAAGTGGTCCCTGGTCAAGTAGTCCCTGGTCAAAGTGGTTCCTGGTCAAGTAGTCTCTGGTCAAGTGGTCCCTGGTCAAGTAGTCCCTGGTCAAAGTGGTTCCTGGTCAAGTAGTCTCTGGTCAAGTGGTCCCTGGTCAAGTAGTCCCTGGTCAAAGTGGTTCCTGGTCAAGTAGTCTCTGGTCAAGTGGTCCCTGGTCAAGTAGTCCCTGGTCAAAGTTGTTCCTGGTCAAGTAGTCTCTGGTCAAGTGGTCCCTGGTCAAGTAGTGTCTGGTCAAAGTGGTTCCTGGTCAAGTAGTGTCTGGTCAAGTGGTCCCTGGTCAGTAGTCCCTGGTCAAAGTGGTTCCTGGTCAAGTGGTCTCTGGTCAAAGTGGTCCCTGGTCAAAGTAGTCCCTGGTCAAGTGGTCCCTGGTCAAAGTGGTTCCTGGTCAAGTAGTCTCTGGTCAAGTGGTCCCTGGTCAAGTAGTCCCTGGTCAAAGTGGTTCCTGGTCAAGTAGTGTCTGGTCAAGTGGTCCCTGGTCAAGTAGTCCCTGGTCAAAGTGGTTCCTGGTCAAGTAGTGTCTGGTCAAGTGGTCCCTGGTCAAGTAGTGTCTGGTCAAGTGGTCCCTGGTCAAGTAGTGTCTGGTCAAGTGGTTCCTGGTCAAGTAGTCTCTGGTCAAAGTGGTTCCTGGTCAAGTAGTCTCTGGTCAAAGTGGTTCCTGGTCAAGTAGTCCCTGGTCAAAGTGGTTCCTGGTCAAGTAGTCCCTGGTCAAAGTAGTCCCTGGTCAAGTGGTCCCTGGTCAAGTGGTCCCTGTTCAAGTAGTCCCTGTCAAAGTGGTCCCTGGTCAAGTGCTCCCTTGTCAAAGTGGTTCCTGATCAAATAGTCCCTGGTCAAGTAGTCCCTGGTCAAGGTGGTCCCTGGTCAAGTGCTCCCTGATCAAGTAGTCCCTGGTCAAGTGGTCCCTGGTAAAAAAAAGCTTGGGAATAACTGATCTACCCTATAGAATTAATGAGATTTGACACCACTTTAACTGCCATGGCTCAATGATATAGAATCAAACTGCATTAACTGCGTCCCTCATTTGAAATACTTGAGACTCGGTTTGTAGATGCAATAGGAACCAAAGAAATTTACAGATGCATATATATTAGGTATTTTTCCTCTGGAAAGTTATTAGATCTGTGTCTTTAAGCACAGCCTGGCTCTTTAGCTCACTTGCAAGAGCTACCTTGAACCTTCTGCTGAACCAGTAATCTCATTGAACCAATAAGGTTAGAAATGATGTTGGGATAATTGCAGAAGCAAGGCTAAATCAATTTGAGCCACTTTGAGGGATAAAGAAATCCCTTCCTCAATTGTAATGCCTTCCAGTACGATTAATTTGATGCTTTTATGAGACATGGCTTTTCATTTTTCCTTTCTTTCTTTGCAGGATGAGCTTGACCTTACAGATAAGCATAGAGAAGCCATGTTTGCACTTCCAGCAGAAAAGAAATGGCAGATCTACTGTAGCAAGAAGAAGGTAAGGAAGCCTACAAACATTAACTCCACAACTCTCCTTCTCCCAGTTCTCTCTTTCTTTGAAAACTGGATTGTTTTGAGAAGAAAATCCAGCAGACTATATTAGAATTATTCTATAGAATAATGGGGAAATGCCCTAACTCCCTGAGAAAAAGAAACATCAGCTAATCATCTGGCTTTTAAACAACAGTTTGGGTTGGTATTTTGGTATATTTAGATCCATCTCAATGTGTTTGTATGAGAATTTGCTGAATACTCATTGGCCGTGTTGATGTGGGATTCTGGGAATGGTGGTCCAAGAAAAGTAACTTTTTCAAGGTCTGTTGGAGCCTAGCCTTCCACATTTGCAGGGGTTTGGGTTGCAGGGTCCTCACAAAAGTGTAAAATAAATCTCTAAATATAAGAATGTGGGGGGGGGGGGGATCATTGGGTTGTTGTAGGTTTTTTCGGGCTATATGTCCATGTTCTAGAGGCATTCTCTTCTGACGTTTTGCCTCATCTATGGCAAGCATCCTCAGAGGTAGTGAGGTCTGTTGGAACTAGGAAAAAGGGTTTATATATCTGTGGAATGACCAGGGTGAGACAAAGGACTCTTGTCTGCTGGAGCTCAGTGTGAATGTTTCAACTGACCACTTTGATTAGCATTTGATAGCCTGGCAGTGCCTGGAGCAATCTTTTATTGAGAGGTGATTAGATGTCCTTGTTTGTTTCCTCTCTGTTGTTGTGCTGTTCTAATTTTAGAGTTTTTTAATACTGGTAGCCAGATTTGGTTCATTTTCATGGGTTCTTCATTATTGTGAAGAAAACAGTATTTATTTGTGGAAAATTGTTTCCTGTGCAAAAGTGTACAGACTTGGGGTGTTCTTTTTGCACAGTTATGTGTTGGTGCCTGCAATGAAGTCATACATACATCATACATAAGTGTTTTAATTTGAACAGATTATTAAAAGTCTGGTTTTGTGAAATATGACTGTGGCGGTCTACTTTGTTATAAGTTATTTGTCTAATTTTCGTAGAGAACTAGCATATATACCCAGTTTAGCTCAGGTTAAGCATTTTGTAATGACTATTAGAAATACTCATTGCTTGCTTTGAGTATAAATTGTAGAAATTTATCATGTCAGGAGCAAACCCAAACAGTTGTATTGTATTTAAACACACACACACACACACACACACACACACAAAGTTTGCAAACTTGGCATTCTATTAAATGTCCTTTGACCAGTTGCTGGCCACTTGGAGTGCCTCTGGTGTTACTATAAGAAGGTCCTCCATTGTGCATGTGGCAGGGCTCTGGTTGCATTGCAGCAAGTGGTCTGTAGTTTGCTCTTCTCCACACTCGCATGTCATGGATTCCACTTTGTAGCCCCATTTCTTAAGATTGGCTCTGCATCTCGTGGTGCCAGAGTGCCGTCTGTTCAGCGCCTTCCAAGTCGCCCAGTTTTCTGTGTGTCCATTAAGGAGTCTCTCATTTTGTATCAGTTATTGATTGAGGTTCTGGGTTTTGGCCTGCCACTTTTGGACTCTTGTTTGCTGAGGTGTTCCAGTGAATGTCTCTGTAGATCTTAGAAAACTATTTCTTGCTTTAAATCGTTGACGTGCTGGCTGATACCCAAACAGGCATGAACTGGAGATGTCTCTGCCTTGGTTCTTTCATTGTTGATAGCTACTTCCCGGCAGATGTCAGGTGGTGCAATACCGGCTAAACAGTGTAATTTCTCCAGTGGTGTAGGGCACTGACACCCCGTGATAATACGGCATATCTCATTGAGAGCCACATCTACTGTTTTAGTGTGGTGAGATGTGTTCCACACTGGGCATGCGTACTCAGCAGCAGAGTAGCATAGCTCAAGGGCAGATGTCTTCACTGTGTCTGGTTGTGATCCCTAGGTTGTGCCAGTCAGCTTTCGTATGATATGGTACTATGCTTATATGGTTATAATGTTTTTGTATGTTTTTATGTCGGTAAGTGCAATGCTTACTATGCTGGAAACCCCCCTGGTACTAGAGCGCAGTCTGTTCAGCGCCTTTCAGGTCGCCCAGTTTTCTGTGTGCCCAGGGGGGAGTCTCTCATTTGGTATCAGCCATTGATTGAGGTTCTGGGTTTGAGCCTGCCACTTTTGGACTCTCGTTTGCTGAGGTGTTCCAGCGAGTGTCTCTGTAGATCTTAGAAAACTATCTTTTGATTTTATGAATGATCATATTCAAAAATGCATGCCTATATAATGCGGTCTTTCATAAAAATGTACACCCCCTGATCTATACCACAAGAAAAAAAGTGTATTTTGCTTCCTTTCCTTCCCCAGTCATTTTCAGGACTTCCCACACTGAATCAAAGCCATTTTATCACCCCACTGATAATAGAATTTGCCAATGACACCAGAAAGAGCCATTTCTATTGTCGGATCCTTGAAATACCTTCTGCATTGTTTGCTGGAACACTCCACTTTCCATCTCATTTTACTTGCATTTATGCTAAAGTGGATAAGTGAACAATATAGACTCTGAGACACCAACATACGCACCGGAATTGTGAAAGGAAAAGACTGTTTTAGTAACACTTGAAGAGCGTGGTTGGGCGAATCGTTTTTGTTTTGTTTTGTTCTGTTTTGTTTTTTGCTTGAATCTGGGTATGCATGTTATCTGTAAAATGAGAACAGGGAGTGCATGAAGAATGTGGAATAACCTGAGCATCGGTCAAAGCGAGATTACGATCATCTTTGGTAACTAAGCGCAATTGGCCGGTTGGAAATGGCTGAATGGTTCAGTTGGATTTTGAAGAATAAATCCCCTGTTCTTTCTAAATCTAATATTTTTGAGAAGGGGCTTTGTTTTGAAGTGACCACGACCAAAATGCATTCTGTCTAGCTCCAAAAGCTGTTTGAGTAGCTTGGGGGTAGGATGAAGGAAGGGCTAATGCAAAAAGATTAAAAGAGAAAAGAAAGAAAGAAAGTCAAGCTATTTACACATATATCTTCCATATAAATAAAAATGTAATGTATTGTCGAAGACTTTCATGGCCGGAATCACTGGGTTGTTGTAGGTTTTTTTGGGCTATATGGCCATATTCTAGAGGCATTCTCTCCTGACGTTTCGCCTGCATCTATGGCAAGCATCCTCAGAGGTAGTGAGGTCTGTTGAAACTAGGAAAAGGGTTTATATATCTGTGGAATGACCAGGGTGGGACAAAGGACTCTTGTCTGCTGGAGCTAGGTGTGAATGTTTCAACTGACCTCCTTGATGATGCTTGCCATAGCTGCAGGCGAAACGTCAGGAGAGAATGCCTCTAGAACATGGCCATATAGCCAAAAAAACCTACAACAACCTAAAAATGTGATGTTCGTTTGTGGGATTAACATAACTCAAAAACCACTGGATGAAATGACACGAAATTTGGACACTACGCCTCTAACAGACCAATGAGTGACCATCACTTTAAACCCCCCAAAAGCTAAATGGAGATACAGAACAAAAGGGAAGAAAGAGGGAGGGAGGAAGGAAGAAAGAGGGAAGGAGGGGGAGAAAGAAAGAAAGAAAGAAAGAAAGAAAGAAAGAAAGAAAGAAAGAAAGAAAGAAAGAGGGAAGGAAGGAAGGAAGGAAGGAAGGAAGGAAGGAAGGAAGGAAGGAAGGAAGGAAGGAAGGAAGGAAGGAAGGAAGGAGAGAAAGAGGAAAAGAAAAGGGGGGAAGGAAAGAAAAAGGTAGAGAAAGAAGGAAGGAGAGAAGGAAAGAAAAAAAGGAAAGGAAGGAAAGGGAGAGCGAAGGAAGAAGGGAAAGAGATAGAGAAGGAAGAAAGAGAAAGAGGGAGGGAAGGAAAGACAAAAGGAAGAATGGAAGCAAAAAGCAAAGAAAGGAAGGAAAGAGGTAAAGAAGGAAGGAAGGAGAGAAAGAGGAAAAGAAAAGGGGGAAGGAAAGAAAGGGGTAGAGAAGGAAGGAAGGAGAGAAGGAAAGGAGAAAAGGAAAGGAAGGAAAGGGGGAGCGAAGGAAGAAGGGGAAGAGGTAGAGAGGGAAGAAAGAGAAAGAGGGAGGGAAGGAAAGACAGAAGGAAGGATGGAAGCAAAAAGTGAAGGAAGGAAGGAAAGAGGTAGAGAAGGAAGAAAGGAGAGAAAGGAAGAAAAAAAGGGGGAAGGAAAGAAAGGGGTAGAGAAGGAAGGAAGGAGAGAAGGAAAGGAGAAAAGGAAAGGAAGGAAAAAGGGAGCGAAGGAAGAAGGGAAAGTCTCTAGTCCTATTCTCCTGGGCAGCAAAAAACAAGCTTGCCCCTTCCTCCCTATGACTTCCTCTCACATATTTATATATGGCTGTCATGTCTCCTCTCAGCCTTCTCTTCTTCAGGCTAAACATGTCCAGCTCTTTAAGCCGCTCCTCATAGGGTTTGTTCTCCAGACCCTTGTTCTGTACATCCCCATATTTTGTCTTTACAAAATCGTTCTTGTATTTGCTTACACTGAAACCAGGATTCTTTTTCAGTACTTGAGCACCTTTGTATAAATGTTCATTTCTAAGCTGAGTTACTTAACAATAAAAAGCAACCGGCTTTTCCCTTACCGCTGTAAAATTAGCAACCCCATTTGGTGCAAAAGTGAAAACAGAGCCTCTTTCTCTCACACACCACTCAATTCAGGTAATTGAAACCAAATTACATTAATGGATAAAAATCCTAGTGACCAGAAAGCGTGTAATAAAAAAAAATCCCAGGGCCCTATACTGGCAATAATGAATTCTTTGTATGTATAGAGAACTGTGATCAAGTGATACCTTGGAATCAGTTTTTTTCCTTAATTTTAAGTGGTTTTCTCCAGTTTGCAAGTTTTATATGAAAGCTTAGAAACATTTCTTTTATTTTGGACCACTGCTGCCAGAATTCCCTTGGGCAGCATGGCCAAATAAAGCAACGTTATGGAGCCTATTGGGCACACAAATGCAGCAGAGTGGACTTTAAGAGACTAACGTTAGACTTCACCTGGAATACTGTGTCCAGTTCTGGACACCACAATTTAAGAG